CAATCGTTATTGCAATAATTTAGACCTTCCTATATTTATGAAAGGTAATGTACTCGATGAGTCTCCTACCCTTCATCTTCTAGGATTAACTCTTACTTCTGATCTTTCTTGGAAACCTTATATCAAATCCATTGCAAAATTAGCATCTGCTAAAGTTGCTTCTCTTTATCGAGCTTGTCACTTTCTTACTCTGGATTCTATTCTCTATCTTTATAAATCTCAAATCCGGCCTTGTATGGAATACTGTTGCCATATCTGGGGCGGATCTTCTAATGATGCCCTTTCTCTTTTAGACAAGGTGCAAAAACGCATTGTAAACATAGTTGGACCTGCTCTTGAAGCCAACCTTCAACCTCTGTCACATCATCGTAATGTTGCTTCTCTTTCTCTTTTCTACAAATACTATAATGGGCACTGCTCTAAAGAGCTAGCATCTCTTGTGCCATCTACTAAAATTCATTCTCGTGTTACTTGTCATTCAATTAAGTCTCATCCTTTTTCTGTTACTGTTCCTAAGTGCTCCAAAAACTCTTATTCGTCTAGTTTTTTCCTCGAACATCAGTTCTTTGGAATTCGCTTCCTTCATCTTGCTTTCCTGATTCATATAATTTGCAATATTTTAAGTCGTCTGTCAATTGTTATCTTGCTCTAATAATAATCTTCAATCTTCATCTTTTCTAATAATCTAATAATATCTTGCTCTAATAATAATTTCTAATAATATCTTGCTCTAATAATAATCACAATCTTCATCTTTTCTCTTCTAGTAACTTCCAACACTAATTAGTGGTTGCTTGCAACCTTGTTGGAAGCGAAGATAATTAAATATATATATATATATATATATATATATATATATATATATATATATATATATATATATATATATATTTATATTAAATGAACAAAAACAACTTTTGATGGAACTCTGAGTTTCATGCCTTTCGGCAATCATCAGCCATTGTGTATTTTGTCACTTAAAAACTGTTTAAAAATTACAAATTAAAATTACGGTGGAACGAGTTCTGACGTTACCAAACAAAACAAAACAAAACAAAAAGACGTCAAAGGTTTTAGTCCCCGGTATTAAATAAGGATAGTAAAAAATTTTTTGAATGCTGGCACTTTGATATTATTTCATATCTTTTATTAAGTAAGTTTTCTCCTTTATATGATAATATGTGAAACTTTTAGCAGAGACAAAGATTACAAACTTTTGATGCTTGATTGTAGGGCTTACATTGTGCTAATATCTTCCATGTAATCACAGGATTTATATGTTTCGATTTTAGCTCCCATATTTCTTTGGAAAGTTCAGTGTCATTTTTTTATTTGGGTGCATTGAAAGATTTAAGATGGTTGGCATATCTTAATTTAAATGTGGTTTCACTTATACCAAAATAAACTTTATCTTTGCATTGAGGATCACCAGAACTTACAGTGGCTTGGTATACAATATTGCTAAAAAGGCATTGGTCATTTAACAGACAAATATTTTTGTCTATGCAGTTACATTTTTTTGATGTTTTATTTTTATTGCTATGTAAAATTTTATTATTAAGTGCAATTATTAAAGACTTGACATTAGGCATGCAACTATAGCTAACTTTAAAATAGTTTCGATTAAAAATTTTATGAAGCCTGTGTCCTACTGGAAAGTGTTGGTCAATTAAAGCTAAAAAGCAATTTCCAATTTTAGTTTCAACATTTTTGCTAAACGGGGGGTTGTACCATATAATTTTACGTTTGCAATGTCTTTTTTGATTTTTGTTTATTTGCGGTTGGTGGGTGAGTTTTGAATTGTATCCTAATTTACGTAAAGCCTCTTCATACGGAAGAATTGAATTATTGAACACAGTTTCATTTACTGCCATATTCGATAATCTTAACTCAATAGTGCGAGGGATTTCTTTTATTATATTAGGTGGATGGTTTGACTCTGAATGAACATACATAAGTTGGTTATTAGGTTTACAATACGGTTGATAAGTATATATATATATATATATATATATATATATATATATATATATATATATGTATATATATATATATATATATATATATATATATATATATATATATATATATATATATATATATATATATTTGAAAATATTTGCCCCATATTAAAGATGGCGGTCATATTTTTGCAATAAAAAAAAATAACAAACAGTATACACATTAATGAACTATTATATATACATAGTTATATTTAAAAAAAAACCTAATTTGAAAAGCTAGTGAATATAATATTAAATTTTCCAAGATTAATGGTAAATGTCCAATAGTTAAATACCTAAAATGGACAACAGGAAAAAATTATTTGAGATCTGAAACTATTAATTGAAAAGTTAACAACTGGTAATGTCAATTTTAAAGTAAAAAAAAAAAAGTAGAGGATTTAGGAACAACAAATCAATTACCGGTAATATAAAAAACAATAAAAATACACAACAATAAACATGATAAAAAAAGTCACCAGAACAAATGCTAATGATAACTCCGTTACTCCGAAACAAAAAAACAAGAAAAAAAAGAGAACAATGTCCTTATTTTTTGGAATTAAAGCTTCGGTGAATGAAGAAAAAAGAATGAAGAAAAAAGTAAAGAGAAAGAGGAAAATAGACGAACTATAATGAAGTTTTAAAAAATTCAAGTAATTGTTAATGTTCAAAATTTTATGAAACTGAAACCAAGAAACACAGATAATCAAGCCAAGAAACACAGATAATCAAGCCAAGAAACACAGATAATCAAGCCAAGAAACACAGATAATCAAGCCAAGAAACATAGATAATCAAGCCAAGAAACACAGATAATCAAGCCAAGAAACACAGATAATCAAGCCAAGAAACACAGATAATCAAGCCAAGAAACACAGATAATCAAGCCAAGAAACACAGATAATCAAGCCAAGAAACACAGATAATCAAGCCAAGAAACACAGATAATCAAGCCAAGAAACACAGATAATCAAGCCAAGAAACACAGATAATCAAGCCAAGAAACACAGATAATCAAGCCAAGAAACACAGATAATCAAGCCAAGAAACACAGATAATCAAGCCAAGAAACAAAGATAATCAAGCCAAGAAACACAGATAATCAAGTCAAGAAACACAGATAATCAAGCCAAGAAACACAGATAATCAAGCCCCATTTGCTGTGTCATTGAAAGATAAAAAAGAGGAATTCAACCTTAAAAAAGAAAAAGAAAAAAGAGACTCAAAAGAATACAAAAATGTTTATATAAATCCAGATTTAACAGAAACTGAAAGATTTATATCAAAGATTTTTAGGGAAGAATGAAGAAATAAAAACAAAGAGAACAACGAAAACATGTTTTATTATGGAATTCGAAATAATAAAGTAATAAAAATCAGAAAATAGCTATATGATCTAAAAGATAAAAACTCAAACCATGGTTCATATTCATAAGAAGAGGTTTCATGAAATGCTGTGTATAAATTTAGAGAGGTAGTCTTGTCTCAAAATGAAGTTGTATATGATAAGATACAGATTAATGATCTAATACTACTTAAGAAAAATTGGGAAATCATGGTTTGAGAGAAATACTGAATATTAACCAAAAAAAATCAAGTAACAATATCAAATGTTGCTACACAAATGCAACTTCATTAAACAAAAAATACAATGAACTAATAGTTGATTTAAAAGTTTGAGTTGATTTAAACGTTTTTTGAGCAAACACAAGGAGTAGTTCTTGGCACAATCAGCTTTAAACAGAAAAAATAATATGTGGAGTACCACAAGGACCAGTTATTGGACCCCTTTCATTTTTCATCTATATAAATGATTTAACATGTGAGATAATTAATCATGGCAAAATATATGCAGAAGACACAAAAACTATTTCAGTCATTAAAACAGTCAAAGACAGTCAAACAAGCAAGACTTATTTAAGCTGGTTGAATGAAGCAAAAAATGGCTAATAAACTTCAATAAAGAAAAATGCAAAATTATGTGTACTAGCAAATGAAATTTGAGCTGCAAATATTTTATGTGTAGTAAACTCTATATGATTCACCAAAATGTTTAAGTTATGCAAGAAACTATGTTAGAAAGAGATCTTGGTGTTATGATATTAAACAATGTCAAATGGGAAAGGCTTATTAACATGATTGCAGCAAGAACTAATAGAAAGCTTGATGAAAAAATTTGATAAATAGTTTTCTACTTATTTATATACTTATATATGTGTATTTACAACAAATACATGAAAAAACCCTTTTTTCTTGCTAAGGTTTGCAGGAACGAGGGGGTACCACCACCCAAATTTTTTTCCTAGAATAGGCCCTGATATATATATATATATATATATATATATATATATATATATATATATATATATATATACATATATATATATATATATATAAATATATATATATACATATATATATATATATATAAATATATATATATATATAAATATATATATATAAATATATATATATATATATAAATATATATATATATATATATATATATATATATATACATATATATATATATATATATATATATATATATATATATATATATATATATATATATATATATATATATATATATATATATATATATATATATATATATATATATATATATATATATATATATATATGTATATTACAAATCTTATTTGATTATCATAAAATAATCAAATACATTTTGTATTTTATTTTTTAAGGAATTAACAGTCATTAACACAAAAATTAGAATATCAAAAATTTTAATTTTAGTTTTATTAATTTTATCTAAATAAAAAACCTGATGCATTTAAAAATATTATATAAATTTGCCGAAAATTTATTGCTATTCCATAATAAAACCCAACCAAGCCAAGGTTTTATCAGAACTCGCATAATTCCTGTCCCATTTTTAAATCAGCCTATGAGCATTATCAATATAAATGCATAACAATACACTTACGACTTGTTACTAAAAAATAAAAAGATAATCATTATTTAAACCTCCACTCATACAACTGTATCCATTTGGGCAACAATGCTCATGGTCAGCACAACACACTGCATTAGGCAGTGGACAACAGCCATATTGACTAGATTCTAAAGTACAACAAGTGTTATTATCAGGACACTGAGAAATTCCATCTGGACACTTCACATTCTTCACATTAACAATGGCTTTTGTGCGAACTAAACCTTTTACTCTTAAATTTCCTCGAGTACAATATCCTATTAAAGCAAAAAAATTATAAACTAAAAATTGAAATTCAATTAAACCACACAATAAAAAGATATATTTAAAATTGAAAATATAAACATAAACAAGTTTTGCAGAAAAAAATGAGAATAAGAATCATATTACACATTTCTTTATAAAGGAAAAAATATAAATAAAAATTGCATCACTGACCTCCAGTGTCACAGCTGTAACCCTTTTGGCAGCAATGCTTATGGTCAGCACAACACACTGCATTAGGTAGTGGACAACAGCCATATTGACCAGATTCTAAAGTACAACAAGTGTTACCATCCGGACACTGAGAAATTAGATCTGGACATAACATATTCTTCACTTTACCAATGGCTTTTGTGTGAACTAAACCTTTGATTCTTAAATTGCCTTGAGTACAGTATCCTATTAAATCAAAAAAACTATTAATCAGAAGCTGAAAATTAATTATATAATTAGTTTTCTATTTTTTCGGTTCTATTAAAATATAATATATATAAATTTAAAAACTTGATATAAATATTTTGCAAGTATAAATGAGAAGAAAAAAATAACACACTTATATTTGTCATTTTAATTAAGTAAACTAAAATGACAAATAAATTAGGACAACACCTAAATTAATGGTTTTTTATTTCTTCAATTGCTCCTCTAATAAAAAGCATAATACTTAGTAATGACACAGTAAATGGTAAGGTATTAAAAGTTTGGTATACAATTTAGTAAATCTTAATAACTTAATTCTTGGGAAAAAAAAAATTAAATGATAATAACAGAGTTGGAGACTCGAGTCAACTGACTTGAACTCAAGTCTAACTTAAGTCACACCAGTGACTCGACTCGAGACTCGACTTGGGTTTTATCCTGAGACTTGCAACTTGACTCGGGACTTGCTAATTTTGGCTTAGTGACTTTAAAATTATTATTTTCCGTCTCTTCAAAAATGGAGCAATTTATCTTCTATTTTAATTCAACTGTTTTTTAACTATTTTTTTATTTTCGAATGTTTTTATTTTAACTTACGTTTAACTGGATTGTAGTCTAAGCAAGATCCGAAGAAAAATATTGCATCTTTTGTTTTCAAAAAATTCCAACTTTTTTGTGTGCGTTCTGATTGGTTTATTTTTTCTTTAACTCATGAAATTTATTGTTTATAAATGTTCGGTGATTTTAATTTCTTATTTAAATATTTTTAATTCTTTCTTTTTCTTTCCTTAACAATCTTCATTTTTCTCTTATTTATTTTTACTTTCAAAATTACCAGTTAGTGTTTTTAAAATGTAACACGGATAGATTACTATAATTTTTTATGAAAATCAGCATTTGTAATCTTTTTTTCAAAAGAATAATAGAATAAAAACATTAGTAAATTGGCTAAATAGCTTATGAAGTATTATGTCACTGTATTGTGTATTATGACTCCTTAGCTATTTTATTACAGATGGTTTATTTTACTTTTAAAGCTACTTTAGTAAATAAAGTAAAATTATAACTATTATCATGCTGTATTTTATAATTGTAAGGTGACTGTTTGAATCTAGCTACCAGAGCCATCGCAAGGTTCCCCCACGCCCCTCTTGTAAGAGGAATTTTGTCCTTTTTATGACAGGTTTTGGAAGGGGCCTCCGAACTCCTAGCCGCGTCACTGATAACCACAACATGCACGGGAATCTTTTATTGTAATATGACTTGACTTGACATGTCACTATATGACTTGAGACTTGACTTGAGACTTGACCTCAGTGACTTGAGACTTGACTTGAGACTTGCTCCAAAGCAACTTGAAAACAGCTCTGGATAATAACCTTGCATTTTACAAGTTTCCTATAGATGAAAAACTTTTTCACTTGAAACAATTTCAAACACAACACAAAACACGAAAGCATATAATAACTATGCATAATTAAAGTACATTGAACAAATTTAAAATTCCTGAAAAAACAAACGTATCCAAAAAAAGTGTGCGCACAACATTAGAAACTTTTAAAACACAGGTTCCCTATTTGAAACATCGAGGTCTGGATCCAAAAACTTTCAGATCACAACTAATGAAGCATTATTATAAACAGCAAAAAACATCCAACATACTCAAGAGACAAACCTGGTTTGTCGGAGATAGTAAAATTATTTCCAGCAATAAAGTAATTTTCAACCATAAATCAAGAGTACACATGAAAAGACTTAAAGATAAGATATTTTAACACTTACTTTTGTGTACAGCGTATGTTGGCAGCGGCTTCGTAGATATTTTAATTAAATCAGTTTTCAAATCAAGACACTTTGGAAATGTGCTTGAAACTGTCAAAATTTTATTTAAGACCCCACAAAAAAAACATTTGAGCTTGGATGGACCTTAAAGAGTGCAACCTATAAATCACATGCAAAACAAACTTGAAGGAGGTTAATCAAAGCATGTAGAACTCAATTATGCACGTAGAACTTAATTATAAAAAAACTATGCATGAAATTGTCTATGCACAGGTGTGCTATAGTCAATGCACAAGTGTGTTAAATTATCTTACAGAGTTATTTGGAAATATAAGTTTTTTTTTATTCTGAAATAGTTTTTTTTTATGCCAAAATATAAGTATTTTTATTTAGAAATATAAGTTGCTTTATGCAGAAGTGAAAGTTAGGGGTTGTCCATAAAGTACATACGCTTTTTTTTTGTTCATCCCCACCCCCCTCCGCAAATTAACGTATTGCATTTTGCAATATGCAATACGTTAATTTGAGCCAAAATATAAGTTAATTTGTGACAAATTAAAAATAAATTAAAGATTAATTAAAATATAATTAATATTTGTGTAAAGTGAAAAAGTATAAAAATATAAGTGTAACGCTATATCATTAGTAGAAAAAGAATATTTGCAACAATCAGATTAAAAACCTTTTTTTTATGATTTTTTGAATTTGTACATTTCACCTTATTTAGTTTATTTTGCTTATTTCATATATTCTATTTAATTTATATTTTAGTATATTAGAACAAGATCAAATTCCATAATGGAACAAAATAGGAAACCCAGAACACCGTTAAAAATCGAAGTTGTTAAGATGAAGATCAGAAGAAATTAACAAGGAAAAGATAACAATTAAAAATAGCAATCTTTTACAGTTTTCATATAGCAGCACATTGATATTGTACATAAGAATTTGAAGCGAACAATCTCATTTAGAGAATATTATTTAAAAATTTTTAAAAGTAAAAGACAAAATAAATGCTTTGTATCAACATGTGTACCTAGAGATAATAAAATGCTTTGATACAATGCTTTGTATCAACATGTGTACCTAGAGATAATAATATGCTTTGATTCAATGCTTTGTATTTACATGTGTACCTAGAGATAATAATATGCTTTGATACAATGCTTTGTATCAACATGTGTACTTAGAGATAATAATATGCTTTGATACAATGCTTTGTATCAACATGTGTACTTAGAGATAATAATATGCTTTGATACAATGCTTTGTATCAACATGTGTACCTAGAGATAATAATATGCTTTGACACAATGCTTTGTATCAAAATGTGTACCTAGAGATAATGCTCTAACACAAAGGAGAACTTGCAATTTTTTGAATCTGGAATTTCAGTTTCACAATTATCCATGTTAAGGAAATTAAAGAATATAATGAATTACTCAAGAAAAAGATTGTCTTTATTTTGTAAGATTGTCGTGCCGCAATTTAAAAAGGCATATGCAAGGAATATTAGGTATATTTCAATTTCTAGAATTATTTGATTTAATCAAAGTTGAATATAATAGATCAAAACGTTGAGATTTTATTTTTGAAAAGCTTGTTCCATACTTTGGCAAACATCATGATAACCACCTTATCATAGATAAATGCAGATTTCACCACATGGTTGATGTTATATGGATATTAAACAAAAATAATATTTGCTACAAATTTATTTTAACTTATATGCCACAACTTAATTTGATTGAAGAATTATTTAGCTAATTAAAAGCAAATTATAAGGCAATAAAACCTCTTTCTACCACTAAAGATGAAATAAAAACCGGGTTTAATGGCTAATAGAATGGGGAACTTTATCCCAATATATAAAAGAGCTGCAAAACTTCTTCCACTTGCTATTTTTTAGGCAGCCATTTGTTTGATTAAAGTGTACCATTAAACACTTCTTAGTTTTAAATTAGAAAAAAAACTTTGGGTCATAATTAATAATTATGAATTAAATAGATTAATACATTCCTGTATATATAGAAACTCAAAGAACTTCTGTATTAATGAAAACTCCAATATTTATTACCTAATATTTTATTTTAATATATTATGCTACATAAATTAACTTTTTATTGGAATAAAAAAAACATATTTCAGCATAAAAAAAACTTACATTTTGGAATAATAAAACTTATATTTTGGAATAAAAAAAACTATATTTTTTTAGATCTGAAATTATTTATGATCTGAAGCATTAAGAAATATTGTTTCAGAGAAAAAACAATATATTTCGTATTACTTACAGAAAAATTGTATTAAATTTTTTTTCACTTTTTCACTATTTTTTATGTTTTTGTTTATTTTCATAGCTTTTTGTATAAATATTTCTATTAACATAATTAAGAAAACATGCACTTCACTTAGTCTATTTTGGAAAGGACAATTATAGGCTGAACATCCTAATACATTTACTAAAATTATGATAGAATTAAATTTAGATGAAGCATGCAAAACTTCCTTAGCTTGGATAGTTAACTTTTTCATTTTTTCAATATTCGCTATTTCTTTATTATATTTTTCATTGTTTTCCTCATAAGCTCTACTTTCTTTTTCTGATGCATTTTTCAATAACATCTCAGATTCATCATCTGATGACAAATCATTTTCATCAACTATCTAAATTTTCCACATTTTGTGATAATTCTGTATCTGATTGTTCCTCTCACTGCAACTATGGTCATCATCATCACTGCAACTATGGTCATCACTATCAAAATTCTCTCCATCACTGCAACTATATTCATCACTATCAAAATTCTCTCCATCACTGCAACTATGGTCATCACTATCAAAATTCTCTCCATCACTGCAACTATATTCATCACTATCAAAATTCTCTCCATCACTGCAACTATGGTCATCACTATCAAAATTCTCTCCATCACTGCAACTATGGTCATCACTATCAAAATTCTCTTCTTCTTCTAATAACAAAGTTATTAGAAGAACTAATTATGATGTTAAATAAGATCCAATTTTCTTTTTGTTTACTTCTATGGTACCACCGAAAAACAAATAATATAAAATTTTGAAATTACATCATTATTAATAAAATATACTCACCAAAGCTGTATATTTTAATCATTTCATTTTGCACATTCTGCAAATTTAGATTTTAATATTTTTTTTGATTTTTAGTAGCAATGTCAAATTTTAATCTTAATAAATTTCAGATATAATTTCCTGCCCCTTTTCTTCTAGAAGGGCTCTTAACCTGCCTGTTGATACTGTAACATTTAAACCATCCTCAATCGGCTCTAAAAGTTTTCTTGAGCTACTTTTGTTTATGAAGGTAAATGACCTACAATTAATTGCTACTTCTTCTACTAAAGTATTTTCTTATGTTTCTTTATTGATTTTTATTTTAATGGTATCTTTGGTTACAAAAGTTTCAATGGAGGTTTGCTTAATTTTCTTACTTGGAGGGCGAGAGGAGTTAACTGCACTATCTTTATCTGAGGTAGATAGATCTGAAAATATTTCATATTGTTATTAATATAAAATTGTATTTTAAAATTTATTATCATAATTTGTCTTATTAAATTATGATTGTTTTAATAAGGAAACAAAAATTATGATGGAATTTAAAAGGCAATATACAAATATGGATATTATTTTATTTAGCTGGACCAGATTGAGACAAAATAAATTCATTTTTATGTTCAACTGTATTATCAGTTTATTTTCAGTTATTAGCCCTTTTACATAAACTAAATGCGTGCGTATATTTTTTTGTTTTTGTATTGGAGCCAATTTTTTATTATTTTGATCTTTTAATGATGCAGAATATTTTAAGAAAAAGATCTCATGATAAGATTAAAAATGTTTTTTTTTTCCAAATGCTTTTTATTAATTATCTGAAAAGGGTTAACATAACATTAATTATATTTAGTAAACTATTAATGAAACGTTATTGTATAGATAAATTCTTTAACATTTTTTTTTACTATGTAACATAATATTTTTTTAAAAATTATAATTGAATAAATAATATGAAATATACAACAGCTACCATTAAGGAATGACAACAAATAATTTCTCCATGAATTTTTATAACTGTACATAAGCAGTGTATAACTGCGTTCTTATCAGCTTAAGCTGTCTTATTAAAATAGGGTTTCAGTAAATCAGGAATATTTTTTCCAGGCATTTTTTTCAAAATCAACTTTTATGTGAAAACAACTACACATAAAAATATAATTATTATAAGAATGTATAAAGTTTAGTCTAACATACTTAATGACACTACTTACCTTTATTTTTATTAAATAACAATAATAAAATTTTTTTTAGAGTTGCTAACCTGGCTATGGTCTAGAAAGTTGATTTTTTATGTACTAATTAAGTACATAAAAAAACTAAATAATTGCGGGTGGAAAACATTGTTCAATCCATAAAAGTAAATACTTTCCTAAATAATTTAGGAAAGTATTTACTTTTATGGATTGAACAATGTCAATGTAATTAAAGTTGCGGGTCAATGATTGACCCGCAACTTTAATTACAAAAATTAGCAGGCCCTATTATTATTCAAAAAAAAAGGTTTTTTAAAATTATGTAATGTAGGTACTCAAATAAAACAAAATTTTATAAAAATTTCAAAAATAATAATTTTTTCATATAAAAATTACTATTTTAGATTTGATTGCATAATAACTATAGTTTTTTAACTAAAAGTGAAAAAGGTGCATTTTTACATGTTTTTTGATAACAATTTTTTTCGGCAATATGATTTTTATAAAACAATGTTTAGAGCCTGTAACAAGAAAAAAAAAATTTATGACCCACCCTAATATATATATATATATATATATATATATATATATATATATATATATATATATATATATATATATATATATATATATATATATATATATATATATATATATATATATATATATATATATATATATATATATATATATACATATATATATATATTTATATATATATATATATAAATAAATATATATATATATATATATATATATAAATATATATATAAATATATATATAAATATATATATATATATATATATATATATATATATATATATATATATATATATATATATATATATATATATATATATATATATATATATATATATATATATATATATATATATATATATATATATATATATATATATATATATATATATATATATATATATATATATATATATAGAATGGTGGAATGGTATTTTGAAAATAATAAAAACCACCTATAATATATTGAACTATAAGATATGAAAAAACGTTCTTCTGATAAATTATCTAATGAATTTGAAATTTATTAGGAATCTTGAAAAAATTCTTAAAGATAAACCATCATTAATAAACCCATTCATAAATCCTACCCAAGTTGCAGTTAATCAAAACCTGCCCAATTCCTATCCTAGTCTAAATCATCCTATGAGAAAACCAATATATGGCTTAATACTGTAAAATAAAAATGTAATTATAATTCTAAACCTCCACTAATACAACTGAAACCATGCGGGCAACAATGCTCATGGTCAGCACAACACACTGCATTAGGCAGTGGACAACAGCCATATTGACCAGATTCTAAAGCACAACAAGTGTTATTATTAGGACACTGAGAAATTCCATCTGGACATTCCACATTCTTCACATTAACAAGGGCTTTTGTACGAACTAAACCTTTTACTCTTAAATTGCCTCGAGTACAATACCCTATTAAAGCAAAAATATTTATTAAATTTAAATTAAATGTTAATTATATATATATATATATATATATATATATATATATATATATATATATATATATATATATATATCCAAACCATATAAATAAGATATATTATAAGTAAAAGTGAACACTTCATTTAAATATATAATGCAAGTAATAAAATAAAAAAATGAGAAAAAGAACCATGTATAAAATTTAAAAAATGAATAAAAACAAACCAAATCACATTACTGACCTCCAGCATCACAGCTGTAACCCTCTTGACAGCAATGCTCATGATCACCACAACACACTGCATTAGGCAGTGGACAACAGCCATATTGACCAGATTCTAAAGTACAACAAGTGTTATCACTGGGACACTGAGAAATTCCATCTGGACATTTCACATTCTTCAATTTAACAATGGCTTTTGTGTGAACTAAACCTTTGATTCTTAAATTGCCTTGAGTACAGTACCCTATCAAATCAAAAAAGTTAATAATTAAAAGTTGAAAATTAATTATAAAATTAAACCATTTAACTAAAATATAACATATATAAATTTGATTGAATTTATTTTAAAAATTGCATATATTAAAACTTGATTGAACTTGATCGGCACCCAAAATAATGGTTTTTATTTCTTTAATTGCTCCTCTTATAAAAAGCATAGTCACATTACTTAGTAATGACACAGTTTATGGCAATGTATTAAAAGTTTAGTAATTATATAATTTAGTAATTCGTGATGGCCATTTCTTGGCAAATAAAAAAAATTTGATAAAAACCATTTTAGAAGTTCACAATAGTTGAAGTACTTAACTGCTTAAAATGGTTTTGAGTTATAAAACAAATTATTACTTTGCATAATTTCAATACATTAAACAACTTTAGAATCTCTTCAAACAAATGTATTAGAGAAATAAAAAAATATATTAGATTATTAAAAACACCGTATATGAAACATCGAGGTCTGGACACAAAAAACTTTTAGATCAAGACTATCGAAGCATCATTATAAACAGCAAGAAATATCCAACATATTCAAGAGACAAACTGGTCTGTTGAACATTGGAGCCAAATTATTTTCAGCAACTAAAGTAAATTTTCAGTCACAATGTACACATTAAAAAACTGAAAGACAAGAAATTTGACAATTACTCTTGCATACAGTGTATTCAAGCCAGAAGAGGCTTACTAAACATTTGAGGATGTATTTTCCACAAACTGGCTCCATAAAAATATACAAAGGCTTGATAAATCAGTTTTTGTATGAAGACACCTCAGAAACATGCTTAAAACTGTCAATATTAAAATTCTACCAAAGATCCCACAACTTTTAATAACAACACAGTGCACCTTGCCACACAGCCAAGAGTATAAAACAATATTTACAATCCAATAAAGACATCTATTGCCATGATCACTTGATTTAAGTCCCATTGAAAGGATTTGAGCTAGGACTGAACTTAAAATGTGTCACGTTAAAATCACAAGCAAAACAAACTTGAAGAAGGTTAATGAAAGCACATAAAATGTAATTCAAAAGAGACTATGCATGAAACAGGGGCTATTCTAGATCAATTTCGACAGCGTTGACCGTATTTGGGCATATTTATATACATTTTTTAAAGCAAATATTGTTTTTTTTTGGCAAAAAATGCAAATTTTCTGCTAAATTTTGCCAGGACAGGAGGGGGGGGGGGGGGAAAGATAGCGCCACCCAATATTTTCCCTATAATAGGATGTTGAATGCTGGATCTTCTTGACTCAATGCATAGGTTTTCTTTGTGTCTCTGTTTTTATGACTAGGCAACTCATTCTATTATCTCTTAATGAGAGTACAGCTCTAAAACTCAGTTTTATGGTTCTGAGGCCAGCTGGTAGTCAGGTTTCCCAAACTCTGTGGTAGCTCTCAGAGAGGCTGATACCATCAACAGCTAAAAAATATCAAAGTACTAACAGTGCCATGTTGCGCATGGATGGTGTCCCTGTTTGTACTTTTGGTGCGCATTGACAAGGCTACATTGGAGCCCCTTGTTACAGCTTAGGGTTTATTAATATTAATGAGGCAATTGCTTGGGCTATTGTATATTGCTTGGGCTACAGTATACTGAGTACTATCTATGTTTTGAGTCAAGTTCTTTAACAAATTTAAAAATGAATAAAGTAACAAAAACTATAAAACACAAAAAACCACTGTCATCATCAAGTTCGCTAAACCTATCATTTACTAATATTCTTGGTCTTCGAAGTAACTTTTCTTCTGTTGAGTCTTATCTCTTGCAAAGTTCACCAAATCTACTCGTTCTTTGTGAGACTAATTTGAGTTCAGCTATCTCATTTTGTAATCTTAGTTACAACCCGAGTCATTTACCTTTCTCCAAATTCACCCTTAGGTTAATCAGAATCCCCTTACCATCGTAAATCTTACAACTAAACCTTAAAGCTGACTGGGACTCTTTTTGTGATTTTCTTTGTGATGGCCCTTGGGTAACAATCTTTACTGTTGACAAATGCGCTTCTTACATAACTTCGTGGATTTAGGCTGGCATGGAATCCTTTATTCCCTCTCAACTATTCCAGGTCAAGCCTCACTCTTCTCCATGGTTTTCCACACATTGTGCTGCAATTACCAATCAAAACCATTACTTCCATATCTATCAGCAAAACAATTCTCCAGAAAAAAGACGTTGATTTATTACTGCTAGGAACCATTGTAAAAAGGGTTTGTCTAACACCGAAGTCCGCTATTCTCAGGTCATAAAATCTTATATTTTCTCAGGTTATAAAATTTTATTGCAAAAATCAGAGCAATCTGATTCGTCTTCTTTAATTTAATCTTCTTCCTATCATAAACAAGGTTTTTGAATCTCTAATTAACAAATACTTAATCTCTCATCTTGAATCTAATAACTTACTTTTTGATCATCAATATGGATTTTGATCTTCTCATTCTACGGCTGATTTGCTAACAGTAATAACTGATAGGTTTTATCATGCATTAGATAATGGTGGAGAGGTTAAGGCCATCGCTCTTGACATTTCTAAAGCATTTGATAAAGTTTGGCATGCTTGTCTTCTCCATAAACTTTCTTCTTATGGTGTATCTGGAAACATCTTTAAGATTATTGAAACCTTCTTTTTCAATCATAGTATAAAAGTTGTCCTTGATGGACAATCTTCCACATATTCTCACATCTAAGGTGGCATTGTTCGCTGATGATACTACCATTTATTCTTGTCATGATAAGAAGCCAACTCTCTCTGATTGCTTGGAGGAGGCATTTGAGTTTGAAAAGAAATTCACTTCTGCTACAGCATGGGGCTCACAGTAGCTGGTTAACTTTAATTCAGATAAAACTCAATTTTTTTCAGCCAATCGTTATCGCAATAATTTAGACCTTCCTATATTTATAAACGATAATGTACTCAATGAGTCATCTACACTTCATCTTCTAGGATTAACTCTTACTTCCAATCTCTCTTGGAAACCATATATCAAATCTGTTGCAAAATTAGCATCTGCTAAAGTTGCATCTTTTTATCGAACTCAACACTTTTTTATTCTAAATTCTATTCTCTATCTCTATAATCATAAAATATAAAATAGCAAAAACAAAAACTTATTTATATTTTATTTTAAACGAACATCTTCAAATAAAATACTATAAAAAAAAAAAAAAAAATTATTTTATTTATTAATTTTTTTTTTATTATTTTATTTACTTATTTTAATTCTCAAAAAATAATTTATATTCTAAATTGAAAAGAGATTTGAAAATAAATACAGAAAAACGAACGTTGATTTAAATTTCAAATAAACTAATTAAAAAATAATAAAAACGGCAAAACAAACGATTTACTAATGATTTAAATTCTAAATTAAAGTTAAAACGGCAATAACAATTTGATTCAGGGCGCGAAAAATCAGCGAACGTCTGCACAAAAAAAGACAGAAAAACGAACGTCACGTTCCTTTACTTTTCCTAACGCAAACATTGGCATTCACCTATAATTTTTAAAAATGAACGCATTACTATAGCAATTTTTTTTTCCAAACAACTATTGATCGTTTTTTATTTATTATAAAAAACACAAGAAAACAACTAATTACGAAAATTTCAAACGCATTTTCAAAGACTTTAAATGAAACCACGCTGAAGCTATTTTCTTCAATGGAACAAAGAAAGTAATTAGTTTGAGCATGGTTTTTGCATGCGTTTAAAAAAGTATTTGAATTTTTATTTAAAATGAGTCCATTTGCAATTACTTTAAAAAAAACCTTGCTTAAATAACAATTGCTTTTTTTAATAGCGTGCTTTTTTTTCTTCTTATTTTCTTTAAAGTGAATTAATGTTAATTTGCATTTTAAAACTCTTAAAAGTTTAAACTAATATTAAAGTTTTTCTAAAAAATACATAATAAAATATATAAAGTTATTATGTTTGTTAAAACTTTATTTTTTTTTATTGTGCGTTTAACAACACCAATAATATGACATTTTTATTAACTTATTAAATACTTAATATACTATTATTTTTAAAGTTTTAAAAAAAATGTCAAAACAACTAAGCATCTTTTCGATGTTAAAGAAAGATGGCACAGAGGAACGTAGCATTAAACATAAAGGAGAAGAAGAGAGAGAAACTAAACATGCGAAAAAAAAGTGCAATGACTTGGATTGTGCTATGACTTTGGGAAAATTGGATATATGGCCAAAAGATATTGAATTTATGTTTTGGGACACCGTAAATGGATTGCCACAAAGCAATAAAAAACACGGGCAACAACTAAGCTGGATTCATATTGACAAATCAAATGAGTGCTTTTTTTGCTGGGTTTGCCAAAGATATCCAAATAATAGCAATACAACCAATTCAGTAACAATGGGATGTAAATTTTGGAAAACATATTTGTTACGCCACAATAAAGATGATGGGCATAAAGCCTGTATTTCTAAATGTCGAGAGAACCTTCACAATATAGCTCCAAGTCTTGAGAAAACTGTATCAACATCAATTTTAAGAACTACTGAAAATAACCAAGAAGAATTGAACAGACTTTTTCGGATATCGTATTTTGTTGTTAAAGAGGATTTTGCATTTAAAAAATTTCCTCAACTGTGCAAGCTACAAAATCTAAATGGTATTAAGTTGGGCAAGAACTACTTAAGTGACAAATCTTGCAAAAGCTTTGTATCGTCAATTTCTCCTGACTTAAAATGCGAATTAAGTTTGGAAGTTTCAAATGCTTGTTTTATTGCAATTTTATCTGACGGTTCCACTGATAAGAGTATTAGTGAACAAGAAACAGTTTTTTTAAGGTTTGTTAAAAATAGTAATCCAATAACTATATTTGCTGGTATTAACTCACCACTGACAGTTGATGCTGATGGTATATTAAATGCAATAGAATTTGTTTTAAAAAGTTTAACAACAGACAAAATGAATCAAGATTTATATTTAAACAATATCT